TTCAACTGTTATTTTTGTACATTCCACATTAAAAAAATATAATAAAATATAATAAAATAGCATAATAACATAATATTATATAAAAATTTAATATAAAATAGAACTGATACTTTTTTAAAGTTTTTTCTATTTTCTTATTATCTATTAATAATCTTATCGTATTATTATTTCTATCCTGTTTTCTGTGTAGAAGTAAAAACATATACTTACTTTGTATAGAAATAAATATATATGATTCTGTGAATCGATTTATCAGTTTGTATGTTATTGCTCTGGATAATCGAAAATGCATTATGAAATCTTTGTCATCATAGTTAATAACAATATTTTCGATATAATTCTGTACTTTTTGTACTTTTTAGTTGTTGTATTGTCTTCTGACTAAACTAAACAATGGATGTAATATTAATAATGGATGTAATTCGTTGTGTTCTTAAAAAGTTAGGTTAAATCTTAGTGTTACGTTCGTGTTCTGGACGAAAGATAATATCTCTCGTCAGGAGGAGGAGAACTCGGGTGGACGCACGGAACCTCTCCTGTTCTCGCGGAACGACGTCGTGATGCCGATCCGCGAGTCGAACGCGCGTTAAGGGGGCAGGGATCGGGTCAGCGTCGGCGACGTTATTACCCTTGTCTGCGCCCGCGCTATTGGTGGTCCGTTTTAGGTCAGAGAACCGAATCTCTTTGACCAGGGATGGACCTAGTGCGATCCTCAGGGAGCCGGGAACGGCGCGGGGTCAAGTTTTAGGGTAAAAAAAATTATTTAAGACGGAATTCTGATTAACTAATTTAATAATAAATAATAAAAATGAATTACAATGTTCTGTTCGTGCACATCAAAAAGGGTTGAGGTATTCGTTACAAAAGAAAAATTTCATACATAAAAATATAAAAAATGACCGCGGACAAAGGAAAATCTGGATTTATATATCCAATTGTTCTAATTGGAGTAAAAAGTTGATGATCGCGAGCATGTCTGTGGGATCGGGTTGCAGGTGTGGTGGGGGATTAGGGTGCGCGGTGCGGAAAGCCTTGATTGGGACGAGGTAGGGAAGAGGATCACGGGAAATATACATAGGGATCACGGTATCAGTGATTTTGTGTTTAGAGATCTGGTCCCAAAATTGCTTCGGGTTTAAACTTTCTTTGGATGAAGAAGGTGCCAGGAGGTGGATGGGTGGGAGAGCGAGGAAATTGGCGGACGAGGTTAAAGAACTTCTCCACGTCGAAGTTCTCTGGAGTGGCACTGGTTTTCGAATTCGGCCGCGGAGCGGAGGGCGGAGACGTATTGATGCAGCGAGATGTTGGCTAGCCCCGGCTCTACTTCTATTAATTGCTCCGCGAGTTCTTCGGCGTGGCAGGTTTCGCGACGAATCCGCTTATTCGATTTCTCCCGAC